ATTACTTTTGCTCACCTAAGAATGCTGTGGTGTAATACAAAAGGTGATATGTCCTAAGTTGTTAAACACATCTAGCTTTGAATACCAGGAAATGAGCGCTGAAATTCTGAACTCTTGTCTCTTACTCTTCTTTTGATCTTAAACCCAAATGTCTTCAGTGAACAACAAAAACAAAGGAATTTGTCTTACTGTTCCAATACTTCTGGAGGGGACTGTATTTCTGCTTAGAACATAGCTGAGTTATCTAGCTAGCAGCAACTAAGCAATTAATGTTAACTAGCATTACCGCGTTAACATGTTCGTAACGTATATTGTGCGAGACGAGAGATGTAGTTCGTTGAACGGTTTTCACAAAACTGAATGTAACTTTACTGTACAACAAACTGCAACTTTCTTGTCAGACAAAATTATCATTTAAATTGACAAACATCATCTGTGTAATTCAGCTCACAGATCATAAAAGATAAAAAAATAAGTTGTCTTTTGCCATTGACTACAGTACATATATTTTCCGAAATAAGTGTCAGTGCCAACTTACAAGTGTCAGTGCCAAATCCGTACCAACAGCAACATTCTTTCTGCACATGAGCAAAAGTGGTCCTGTCTGCCAAAGAAGGTTACCACGAATGTGCTACTGATGAATGAAATGAAATACTGATGCTTTCAGAAAGTGTTATTTGATGCAAAAGTTACCCTTCAGCGTCCTTATGAGACGCCTCCGGGTGCGTCTGAATGAGACACCCTGTCTGTACTGGAAGCGCTAGTAGCTGGCTAGCTAAGTTAGTATAAAAGGCGTTGTCAGCTTCCCAAAGCATCTTACTCTACCCTTACCTTACGCGTGTCGGCTAACCCTACAGCTGTGCACATCGGTCTGATGGTTGATGTGCTAGCAGCTAGGGTTAGCTGCCTTTGTGTTGCTATATTGTTAGATTGTTGTCAATTAAAAATGTACTCTTTAATAAGGTTTTTCATATCTAAAGTATATTCCTATTACATCATAGTGAACAGTTTCATCTCCAGTGATTAAAAAAATTGTTATCTCAATATGAAAGATTTAGTTGGATCATTTTGAAGAAGCAGATTTGCGGTAACCTGCTTTGACTGACAGAATCACTTTTGCGCATGTGCAGAACGGATCTTGCTGGCGGTACAGATTTGGCACTTAGGCTCTCTATACTCTAACCATGCCATGCCATGTGACAGCACGTGACAGTGTCACATGATGTAGTTGGCGCCCAATAAGATACTACTTAGAAGCATAATGTTATATTACATTCTCAGACATGGACATACAGTACTACAGGCAAATATGTAAGATTGCTTAAGCTGGTACTTTGAGCTGCTAATGTCAGCATGCTAACATGCTTACAGTGACAATGCTAATATGCTGATGTTTAACTGTTATAATGTTTATTGGAGGGAAAGTCGTCAGTTTTGCTGGTATTTGGTCATTAACAAAGTTTTAGCAGTGTTGGGGCAGTGACTAGTTACATTTAGTTACATAATTTAATTGCAAAATAAATGTAACTATAATCCATTAACGTTACAATGCCAGTTAAATTGCCTCTCAAGTTGTCTTTTGAAAATGGTGAACAGCTGAAAACATTCATTAGAAATTAAGAAAAGTAATTGAATGTAATAAGTTACATTATTTTGATAAAGTAATTGAAATAGTTACACTACTATTACATTTCAAATAGGATAACTTGTAATCAGTAAGCTGTTACGGGAAGTAACCTTCAAAGTAATACTGCTCTAGAGGAAAAGTAAAGGGATAACCAATATTGCAATTCATACTGAGGGACGGACCCAATCTATTAATAATTGTAGAGACATTTAACTCAAAACCACAAATGTCAACCTCTAAAATATACACAGCCTCACACTGATTAGAATTCAATTAAGGCTAAACAGAAGCTATGTAATGATAATTCTACCTTTAGTGATTTTTTTTAGGTTGCCGAAGAAGAGTGAACTTTACTTGTCTTGGATTCTCTATAAATGGATTACTTTGGAGGATTCAGTATGCAGTTGGAATGTGGAGCATTGAGACTTTCTGTTTATTAAACTGTGACTAATAGAAAAGGAAGATCCAACAGCTACAGCACTTCTCCCACAGGTTCTTGGGTTTACTCACTTTGAAGAGGTATAACTCAGTCTGATACTAAAAATGGGAGTACATTTACAATGAAACTGAACCAAAATAGAAATGCACATGTTGCAGCATGCTAATTTGTGTAACACACCATGTAGCTGGTATGATTTATTTATTCACACTCTCACAGTGGGGTGCTTCAAAGTGACTGTAATTTAGATCAAAGACGTAACCAGAGAGAATGTGGAAATAGGCTGATGAAAATTCAGAACAATAAGAGCAACGGCTGTCGTCACAGAGCCGCTGAGGCCGCTGAGGCGTGGCAAGCCTCACAGTGATTCAAGTGATGGAAGGGTAAAGAAAATCGAAGCACAAGGAAACAGACTGCAGCGGCCATGTTGCTAGAGCTGTTGTGCAAAGAATTTGATTAGTTTGACACTGATAAGTCCGAAGCCAGTGCAGCGTTCCCAGGTCACACCTTCTATATCCTGTGTACTTCAGCCTAACAGATATAGGATTTTGAGTTCATCTAAGTGATTACAAAAGGGCCGTTTTATCATTAAGGATCAAAGAATAAAAACCTGTACTTACTGCTAAGTTTGACTAAAGTGCACCTGAACATCTGCTGCTGCACAGCTGCCTGCTCCTATGCTGCTTCTTATAAAACACCTACTAGGGCCAGTGGGAGCATGTGAGTCAAGGAATGAAAACATTTTAAATATTAACATATTTGCGAGATTAGTTTTAACCTAATGGGTTTTTTTTGTTTTGATGGTTGATATTATACTGGGCTGCAGCTTGTCTGTTACCTTAGGGGAAAAGGTGACTCATGGTCCTGAAAAGACACTCCAAGCTGTCCTTATGGAGCATCCTGTCCAGCAGACTCATGTCTCTTGTAAACATTTGTTATTTTTACAAATTTTATAAATGCGCATGCTGCGCAATTCTACTTTTGTTCTAAAATCCCTGAAGCCTCTTATTGCATAGCTCTTCACCTTTAATTCATGAGCATTTGCAAATTATAATCTCCCATTAGCAAGTGAATTGTTAATTCAGTATTTATAAGGACTTGAATGGAGTGAAAATGAAATTTTTGTGTCTTATTTTGCTCTCTGTTGTGATGATAGCTTTGTGACAATTGTATCACAGAGGAGTGAATGACTTCAGTACGACTTCTCACATAGATGTGCTCATAGCAAGTGTGTGTATCCATTTGTGTGTGAGAGAGAGAGGCAGAGGGGGGCAGATTTACAAGCTTGTGTCAACTGGCCAATCCTCCTGGATAAAACCACAGTGCGATTCCAATATCACTCCTCTCTGAATAAACATTGTATTACAACATTTCACCCGCAGCTGTGAGCATTTGAAGGCGACATCGCATCATCTGTTAAGGATACTGTATGTTATGAAACCATGTCGCAGACATTTTGTTAAGCTAAACGTTCTATTTGTGTAAAAATACATTTCAAGTTAAACTTTTCCAATTAAGATTAGAAATGGTTTCACTCAATTCACTTCTTGCCGAGTAGATAATCAATTTCAGATTATACTTGAATGTGTTGCAGTTTGGTCAGAAAAATACAATTGTCAGTTAAGGCAAGCAATGGTTTTACACACTATGTTGTAAGGTAAATGTCTTGTAGACTGAAGTCATATTCTGCCAAAGTTAGGGGTTGTGTTTCATGTCTTTTTTCATGTTAAGTGTTTACAGTCTTTCTTGTGGCAACCATAACCCATGCACTCTCCTTTTCAATCACCTTCTTTGCTTTGGTTATCCATCTGTCCTTCTACTGTGTCTTCTTCATTGCTCCTTTTTTCCCTCTTTTTCTTTAATTCCACTGTCTCCCCTTTCTTCCCTGTTCTGCTGAGTTGTAGTCAAGGGTAAAGTCTCATTTACTGGGCTGTAACAGGCATCTGGGTTCAGATGCATCCTGCAGTATCTGTCTACAGTTACAAATCATCCCGCTTTCCACCAAACGCAGGCCTTTCCCTTAACAGATGCCATCAGTGTAGAGTACAATGCAATGCAGTCTCAGTAGGAAAAGGCCTCAAGTGGGGAGCGGTTGTTAAATTGCTTGAGGATTGGGAGTCCCATTCCTGCTGTGATGAAGATGGAAGGCGCCTAAATTGTTAAGGGAGGCCTCCAGCGATATGGAAGTCACGGATCCAAGCTGAGCTGATGGCCCAGTCAGGAAAAAGGAGGGGGGCTTCCCAGTAGGGAGCAGGAGGCACCACCTCCTTCACTGCTCTGTTGCATTGGCCCGCTGTCGTGGCCTTGCCAGGTTCATAATGACTGCCTCACTGCCAAGGTGCTTGTGTCAGCAGTTTGAAATGGCTCTTGCTCTGTGTGCATGTGACCACTGTAAGCTTTCCTGCACTGAAAAATATATTTGATGAGGCGTGTTACACGGTCACAATCACTGCACCGTAAGTGTGCTCCTGCAGCAATTTGTCGCCAGCATTGCAGGAAACTACTTCAGAAGAACATGTGTTGTAAGTTGTTTCTTTCTAGGAAGCTGGTGTCACTCTGCACGGCCATGTGGTGCTTGGTTGATATTTAATATATTAGTTCTTTCCGTCCATATTGTAATAGGTGTATGTAGAGGTCGTAAAGTCATTTGCTAACTTTGTCTGTCTGCTGTTAAGTGCTGGGCAGGTGCAGAGCTGCCTGCTGTGGTTGGAAACAACGCTGATGAGAGGGAACCCAAACAGTTGTGAAACCAAAGCAATGAGTTGAAAGATGCTAAAAAGCTCTGCAGAGCCGAGAAAAACTGTAGAGCTGGATAATGAAAGTACTGAGTACAACTTCAAGGTTTTTGTTTTACAAGTATCAAGACTGTTTGTCTGAAATGCAAAACCGTGTAACACTTTCCATTGCGTTGAATAGTTCCTTTTTTCACTCAAGGATGGACAGTAAAACACTATTATCACCCCCTTGTGGTGTGGAGGAATGAGGGCCTCTGGATGAAGGCCATGGAGCTGAAAGTGTGGGTGGACGGAGTGCAGCGCATCGTGTGCGGGGTCACGGAGTTCACCACATGCCAGGAAGTGGTCATTGCTTTGGCACAAGCCATTGGTAAGCTCTAAACTACTTACTACAATATGAGAAACATTGTGCTCATCTCTTGTGTTTGCAGGTGGTAGATTCTTGAAAAAATATAATATGGAATCAATAAGTAGCAGTAAATGTGAATTATTGTTATTATTATGGGTTATATAATGGGGTCTTCACAGCCCAATAATAATAATAACACAAAAAATCTTGAAAATCCCAATGGCCGACCAATAACATGACAAAGACCACCACCAAGAAGAGTAGATTTAACACTATGTCAAAATCCTTTCCATCTGCCTCCTGTGATATAAATTATATTTTGTCCCAACATAAATCCCTACGGGGATTTTCTGTGATGTGGGTTTGGTCCAATATTGTCCAGACAGGTTGTCAGACATACTGGAGATGATGAATTGCAATAAAATGAAAAGTGACTAGAGGGTACAAAGAGATTTTCACCATAAATGGGCTTTGGTTTATTTACGTGCGGTACAATTGCAGAGAAATACAGCACGGATTGTGCTGTACGTATAACTTTGAGAATCCAAGACCATAAGGTTATAATGTCTTCAAACTGAGAGATGTGTGCTGTTTTTAAAATGGACAGATAAACACCACATATAGATTTAGAGTTAAAACACATGCGTCTTTCACAGTGACAGTGTAGCAGGAGTTATGGCGTTCACTGTCCTTTGTGTTCTCTGTGTCTTTTGTCTAGGCCAGGGCACTTTGATGTGAATGGCTATAGTGATGAATGTGTCTCTTTTACAGGGACCTTACTGTGTAAGAAAAGGGTGAGGGTAGGATGGACACGGTTTTACTCTTATCTATGTGTACAGACAAGAATGTGGGCGTACACACGCGCACACATAGAGCCGTGGATCTCTGAACGTAGTTCTTTTCCCAACACAGTCACTGTTTGTTGAGTTGAATTTTCCCACTGTACAGTTCTTTCGCCAAACATGCTGGTAAAATTCTTTGAAACCACTGATGCTGCACAGGCGTGGGAGAGTTGCAAAAGAATTCAATGAACCTATTCTGTCTTTCCTCTCTCAATTGCAGTGCACTTCGAACTAGATTTTTGAAATTTTTTAAAGTGCGCTTACAGTTACTTATGCCATGACAACACAAACAAATAATATGAGATCAGACAGTACCAAGCCATTAAATGATTTGTCGATGAGTTTCTTTAATAGCATAGCATAACAATGAAAGTGAATTGTGTTTGTGACTCATGAGTCCAAGGGGGCCAAGAATAGATCCTTAACGAACACCATGGGTAAGAGGGACCTCCCAAGGAGAGAGCAATACAAATTACAGCAGATACATTTTTATTGAACAAACATGAGCTGAACCAATCTAAGGCGTCCTCCCCGTTGAAACCCATTTTCTAAGCAATGATTTAAAAGCAAAGCTGAAATCTGTTCAATTTAAAGTAACTGATTAGGGCAGTTTGAGTGATGCCAAGATGTAGAAAAACTGATTTAATTTGATTGATATATAGATCTACAAAACACAGTCCAAGGGGTTACAATTTATTATAAAATCTTAAAGCCAAATATACCTATCAATCAATGCAAACTAGTGTAACTGTTGGATTTTATCTGCTTCATCAGGACTCTATGGGTGTGGTTTGATCACGTTGCTAGACAGTGGCCAGGCAAAGTAACAAAACAACCCCACAGCTGTAATCATGTTTTGATTGGTGCATGGGAGTACATGACATCACCGGCTTCCAACTGAGCCACGCCACGTCAAATCAGGGAGAAGAGCACAGGGAATATGCAGAAAAATATACAAAGTCTCTCATGTGAAATAAACAAACCTGTTTAAATTTTTAATTCATATTGGACCCCATCCCTGTCAGTAAGACGCTGATGGAGAAAAGACAGGGTCTTTAAGTTGACAAGAAATATCTGTAATTAAGCACTATGTGTATCAATTTTGTCCCAGGACGTACTGGTAGGTACACTTTGATTGAAAAATGGCGCGAGACAGAACGTCACCTGGCTCCACATGAGAATCCTGTAGTGTCCCTCAACAAGTGGGGTCAGTATGCCAGTGATGTCCAGCTCATCCTCCAGCGGACCGGCCCGTCTGTTAGCGAGCGGCCCACCTCTGACGGGCAGGCTCGAGTCCCAGAGCGTGGCTTCTACCGGCAGAGCCTTCCGCCTCTGGCCAAGCTCCGCCCATCAGGGACAGACCGCTCCCTCAAAAGAAGGGAACCCAAACGCAAGTCTCTGACCTTCACTGGAGGGGCCAGGGGTCTGCGGGACATATTTGGGAAAAGCAGAGATGCTGAAGGTAGTGCGTTTTAGTTTGTTTTGTATAATAAAGCTTACTGTTGTCAGGGATGGTTGTGTTATTAGTTATGCACATACTGTCAAAAGTCCTGGTTTTACTGTCCCCTTTCTAACCTTCCCTCCCTCTATTCTGTTAATTGTTAACAATCCAATCGCCATCCTTTCATCTCCCACCCACCCATCTGTCCAGCTAAACAGCCCCAGCGCGGTGTGAGTCTGAATCTGAGCAGGGTTGGGGGTGTTGGAGTAGCATCTGTACCTGGGAGTCCAGCCAGTGAGCTGAGCCGGCTGGTGCAGCTGCAGAGAGACAAACTCCAGGCCCTGGAGAGCCGTCTGCAAGGCTGCGAGGCTGAGCTACGAGACTGTGAGAGGGCCACCGGCCAGGCCAATGAAGTGAGTAAAACTGTAGCTACCAGTGTTGTTACTTACAGCAGATCCATAACACCTGCACGCTAAACCCTCATGTCTTCAAATCTATTAAGGTTTATCTCTGTAGTTTAGTGGGCGGTGCAGGGCTGCAATGCCAGGCCCCATTTACAACGAACAGCAGCCTATCGCTGTCCCACCTTTTGAGTCTGTACGTGTATCCCTGCATCATCTTCTTTGCAAGTATTTTTTTATTCTCTTTGGGGCAAGAATATTTTCAAGTTGAATAACTTTTCACTTGCCAGGGGGAAAGTCTCGAGGAGGAGTTGATGCTTTTAGAGCAGCAGGTGAGGAGGAACGATGCAGAGATGGAGGAGGAGGAATTCTGGCAGAACGAGCTGCAGATCGAGCAGGAGAGCGAGCGGAAACTCCGGCAACAGCTCTCCGAGCTGCAGGGAGGGGTGCGCAGCTGCGAGTCCAAGCTTTTAGAGTACTTAGCACGTATACAGGTGAGCTTGGCATCATCGAGAAGCTACCTGATTCAACTGGATGCTGTTTTATTGGGTTTATAAACAGCATGAAAACCTTTAGTATTTTTCTTTCTTGTATTTTTTTTTTTATCATGTCATTATCGATTATTTTCATGCCAGTCTTCCTATATTATTTATTATCTGTCACATTATGTAGAACATGGAGGCAGGCCTGGAGCAGGAGCGGCTACAGCAGGAGGCCGAGCTAAACCAGAAGATAGATGAGGAGGAGGTACAATCCTGTCTATCTTTTGAATTCTCCTTTTTGATTAAAGTCATGTTAGTGTCAGCTTTAGAAATCTCCCAACCCCGCTAGCAGTTCATGCGGTTGTGAAATGTAATAATATCAATGTCAATTTTATTTCTATACCACATTTAAAAACAACAACAGTTGACCAAAGTGCTGAACAGGGTCAATGTCAAATACATAAATAACAAGTATAAAAATTACTACAACCAAAGTGTATCACAGGGAAACAAAACAACGACACTTTAAAACATCAGAAACCTGGTTAAACGAAGGTTAAAAGCTTCTGCAAAAAGGTGCGTCTTAAGCAGCGATTTAAACGTTTGTAGGGTCTGTGCAGCTTTAATTTGCATGGGGAGGCTTTTCCATAGGATGGGGGCACCCACTGCAAAGGCGCCAAAAGGCTTATTTTTTAGCTTTGATCTCGGGACATCCAAGAGCAGCTGATTTGATGACCTCAGTGTTCTGACTGGAGAATGATGGCATAAGAGATCAGCCAGAAAGGTGGCGCCAGACCCTTTAAGGCCTTAAAAACAAGTAATAAAATCTTAAAATCTATCCTATAACGGACAGGTAGCCAGTGGAGGGAGGCCAAGACGAGCGTTATGTGTTCAGGCTTTTTTGTTTTTGTTAAAAGGCGAGCAGCGTTTTGGACTAACTGGAGGTGATTTAAAGATTTCTTATCTACATCAGAAATCTTTAAATCACCTCCAGTTAGTATAGTGAATTACAGTAATCCAGCCGGTAATAAAAGCATGGATGACTTTCTCAAGGTCTTTGGGAGGAAGATAGGCCTTTATTTTAGCTAGAGGTCTTAAATGGAAGAAGCTGGTCTTGACAACTGCACTGATTTGCTTATTGAAAGTGAATGAGATGTCAAAAATAACACCAAGATTTTTAGGATCGGTTTTGGGAGGCTAAGGGGCCCAAAGTGCCAAGAGGGTCACCCAGTGCGTCTAAACATCCACACGTGATGATCTCTGTTTTATTTTCATTCAGAGTGAGGAAGTTTAATTCGATCCAGGTTTTTACCTCCTTTAAGCAGTCTAACAATGGCTGCACAGACTCTTTGGTTATGGATTTCATAGACAAGTAGATTTGGACATCATCAGCAAAACAGTGATAGGAGATGTTATGTTTCTGGAAAATGGAACCCAGTGGCAGCATATACAATGAAAAGAGGATGGGGCCCAGAGAGCCTTGAGGGACCCCACAGGTGAGAGGAGCAGTTGACGAAGAGTGTTCAGCTAAATGAACAGAGAAGCTCCTATCAGTCAGGTATGACTGAAACCATTTCAAGACAATATTGATTCCTTCAAGGCGAGATAAAAGGATTGTGTGATCCACAGTGTCAAAGGTGGCAGTAAGGTCTAGAAGCACCAGAACAGCAGAGTTGCCTGAATCCACCGTTAAAAGGAGATCATTAAAAACCCTTAAAAGTGCTGTTTCTGTACTATGACGTGGTTTAAAGCCAGACTGGAACTTCTCCTGGATGCCATGGTTGTTGAGGAATGTTTGTAGTTGGTTCAGGACTATTCTCTCCAACACTTTCGAGAGAAAAGGTAGTTTGGAAATAGGCCTGAAGTTAGAGAGAACGTCGTGATCCAGATCAGATTTTTTGAGAAGAGGCTGCACTAAAGCATGTTTAAAAGCAGCTGGGACACACCCTGTGCTCAGACATGTATTTATTAAAATAAGAATGCTGGACCCAACAGTATTAAAAGCACATGTCAAAGCATTTATGACTAAATACATGCGAAACTAATCATTCGCATCAGCCTCAGCTGTACTTTGTGTTTAGCACCAGTTAGCAAATGTTAGCATGCTAAATTAAGATGGTGAACATGAAAATGTTGGAATTGTCACTATGAGCATGTTAGCATGCAGGACAGCCTCACAGAGATCATAGCTATAGACTCATAGTCAGTTCATACAGTTGGTGGCTAGCTTTCCATCTCTCTAGTTTTAACATAAACCATAATTGCAGCTCTCTAAACCTAACAATATATGAACTTTAATAAGGAGGTAAAAGAAGATTTTCCATATGTACAGTATAGTAAAGATATCTTGAACATGACCAATTTTTTAAATATTAACCACTTTAAATGAATACAACTCATAACACTGCATTGTTTTTTACAGCAAAGAAACTCAAAGTCTGAAGTTCTAAACACGTTAAAGCATAAGAGTCCTCCTACATCTTTACTGTGAGGATTAGTTGTCTTTTGCCCATCTCTCCTGAAAAGTTGTGATGAGCGTTGGCTTCCTCTCTTCACTTCCACTCTGGATTTTAGGTGCAAGCGCAGCTGGAGAAAGTGAGGGCAGAGCTGGAAATGCAGAGCCAACACACGGCGCGGCTGGAGAGCAGCTGCAGGGCGTTGGAACATTCGCTTGGCCAGTCCAGCAAGAGATTACAGGTCAGCTCAGATCCTACTATTTACTATTTTGATTTGTTTTTTAACAGCGTAGCCTCAGAATTGTCAATAATTTGGAGAACCCTTGGCAGTTCCCTATACGAGTGGAGGATGCTGAAGGAGTTTTATTTTAGGAAATGTTTTAAAAATGCTTATTAAAAAAGTTGGATAACTTTGGCACTGAGGTGTGCGTGGAAATCCAGTCCTCCGCACACAGGTGGAACCATAGAAATCTAAGCTCATTAAGCTGTGGGCAGTGAAGCAAAGTGTAATCTCTGGCTTGCAGAGATGTGCAGTGCATCCTTGGCTGCATGCATCCTTCTATGAAGCGAAGAGCTTTACGTACAGGCAAGGTCCAGTAGGGTGTGGGAAGCATGAGGTAATGAGAAGGGGAAGGGAGGGAGGGTATTACAGCATTCTTTGCCTGATTAGAGAGGGGCCTGAATAAGTACACAATCCCTTGCCTGCAGTTGCGTAACCATCTGGGAGCTAACTCTTCTCTTTAGCTGTCTCATCTGGGTTATGACTTCTGCAGAGATCCTGAGCAGCCTTATTGTTTTTCACTTTTTATATCCACCTGTTACAATAAAACTATGTAAATATAGTCGAGTGAAGGTAGAAAAAAGGATCCAAATAAGGCACAGTAGCTGAATTCCTGTACCAGTGAGTACAAGACTCATTTCTTAGTATTTTAAAGGTAGTCCTTATTTTTCATAATGCACGTTGAGCGAATTTCTTCAGTTGCGCTCCTGCTTGCATCAGCCTGGGCACAGACCTCATTTAGTTGTCATGGTGGTTTTGTTTTGTTTTTTTTCCATCACAGGAGAAGGAACAGGAGCTGGAGCAGCTGACAAAAGAGCTACGACAGGTCAACCTGCAGCAGTTCATTCAGCAGACCGGTACCAAGGTCACCGTGCTGCCTGCTCAACCTACAGGAGAAAACAACAACGGCACGTACAGACACACACACACAAACAAACACTCACATGTACACAGACATGCATGCACACTAACACACTACTAGTTCAGTTTCACAGCTGACCAAATTTTGACTGAGGTGCTTTACGTGCAGCCTTGTCTTCACATGTGTATGTACACAGTGTCACCCTGTGGTCATCCTGAGAATGACGGGTTAGACTGGAGACTTGAGCTGCTGAGGCAAGACTGTTGTGCCTTAACAGCTTAAGTTTGTAACCCCATTACATGGACCAAGACTGTGTCAGGGCTGCAAGACTTTCACAGCAAGTCAAAAGGAAAAGCCCTATTTTCAATGTCAACTGAAAAATCCCTTGGAAGGTTTAGCTCACATACTGCTCATTCTCAGTTCTCTCCCAGTTCAGATTGACTATAGTGGCAAACTGTTTTATCTAATGTACTAATAGCAAACATTTGCACAAAGTTACAGAATTTATTTACAATAAGTGGATCAGTGGCCAGTAGATCCTGGAGCATAATTGTCCTAGATAGCCAGAATTTCATGTCAGATTGTTTAATCAATTTATGTACCTTGTCCTTCATGGCTGACTACTTTTTTTTTTGCTTCTCTCATGTTGCTTGCTACAGAAGTGGAGTCTGGCTCTCTGAAACAACTTGGCTCTTCTCGTCTCTTACCCAGTGACCTTCGCACTCTCCAAAGCACTGTGTCCTCCAGCTTCAACCCCGAGGGCATCTACGTTTGACCCCAAACTGACAGTATTTGGGCAGCAGGGCAGCCTGATGTTATTAGGATTGTTAGTACTTGTGACTGGAAGGCCCAAGAATTGACTCCTAAAACTGCTGAAATGCTCTTGAGCAAAGCCCTGAAGCAACCAGGAACACGCTAGGTGTGGAGGATGTTGACAAAAAAAACTAAATGGGATATCACAGAAAACAGTTGTGACGACGAAACTTCCATCTGTTTAGCATCTTTCCTGCACTGCCTCCTCTTCAATCTCACTAGGACAGAGACTCAAACTGATGTCAATATTCATTTGCAAGCTAACATTTATTCTGTCCACCACTCCCGGACTGCAAAAGCTCCATTTCCTCAGAATCTAAATAATTCACATGCCAGCACATGTGCTTTTGTTGACTGAGGAGGCTTCAGGCAAACAGTGCAGATAAACATTATTTTTTTGTGAATCAGAAACCGGGGGGAATTTCAGGATGTGTCTCACATGTAAACATAATCCATGCACGAGCATGCAAAAACACCGACACCACACCTGTGCTATAACCATAGCCATATCCGATTGCCTTACTCTGGTGTTTAAAAACCAGACGTCAATAAGTCTAATATTAAAACAGAACTTAAGGTAGCTACTTAACTATGCGCCATATAAATTTGATGAAATAGCACCAATTCAGGTGATACCTAGTCATGGTAACTGATGTCAGTATCACTCACCACTGGCGCAATCCTTTTCTTTCACATAAGTTTGAATTTTTGTATTGATTTTAACGGGAAATAAATTTGGAAAAAATGAAAAGTTAATTATGTAAAAAGGAATAGAGGAGAAAATTGATGGAGTAACATTGTCAACAACTGAACATTTTTGGTGAAATAGTTTGGTCATCTTCAGTGCAGCGCCATTAATCTCCTCTTTGTTTCAGTTGAACACTTTCTCCAAAAAGCTCTGGTGTGAATGGAGAGATAGCAATGAGGGAGGCCTCTGAGCCTGCAGTGGAAATCCAGCCTGGAAAATTTGCCAACACTGACTTCACACCCAATCTGACCACCAGGTGGCGCCAAAACATATATTATTCAGACAGGTGAAAGTTAACTGTGTCAAAGTTACTCCTGGTCTGATGTTATCAGCCTTCGTTCATTTTAATGGGTCAAAAATGACATATCATTGAAATATTACACCAACATGCTATATTGTTTTGTCTGAGTTTCATTTGATTTTTAACATTTTAACGAAATAAAGATGTCTTATATGAACCAAAGCTAGTATAAAAAAATAGTTAGATGAATGTACTTTTTTACATGTATGCAATGCCCATGAAGTGTCGATCGACTTGAATCAAGTAGTAGTCGCATATATTTTTCATGGTAGCAGGAAAAGACAGAAGACACAGTAAAGGCAATGACAAACCTTGTAAAAATCTGACACCTTCTTTTCAGGCTAAAACACTTAAAACAATGCAGCTACAATTCCACAAGTGTCTGGATGTCGCTGCATTTACCCAATTCAAGTTGATAATTTCTCAACACAGAATAAAAGGAGATTTCTCGCTGGGTTTCTAGGATGAAACTGACAGAAATTGCATAAGAATATGGGAGCTCAAACAAGGGTCAATAAGAAATTGAGCTTGTGATATGATGTTCAGAATCTATTTCAAAGTCTGCGTTCGTATTTCAAACCTGTGAAAATCTGTAAAAACAAATGAGAATGTCTAAATAATATTTTTGGATAAATCGAAACAACAGTACATGCACACAAATGCACATTTAAGTGTGAATTTTGGCCCTGCTTTGGGCTGTAAATATAGAACTAAAATTCATACATGGGAACATGGAATACTTAGTTTCACATCATGAATCTGAAATGAGAGTCATTGTGCAGAACGAGAAAGCCTTTCATAGACAATGTGAACAAAGTAGTTGAAAGTAACCGTAACATGTACTCAAGTACTGTTCTTACGTACAGATTTGAGGTACATTTAATGCTACTCCACTTTTCACTACATTTTCTTTAGGTTTTAGTTACTTTGCAGATTCAAATTAATAATACATAACATAATCAACACATAAATTGATCATACATTATTATAGATTAAGCTACCCAGCACTACATAAAGTAGTTAATATTAGCCCCACCTTTACTAGCTGCAACATTAAAGTGATTAATAATCCAATAATATAGTACATTGTTCTGAAATGGGCTATTTTGCATTGGAAGTACTTTTATTTTTGGTACTTTAAGTAAAATATAGAATGCATGACTGAACTTGTAACTGAACTTCTACACTTTGGTTTTGTAGTTGTAGAGTATTTCTTCCACCTCTGTGTACATTTGTACATTCTCATCTTTTGCTACATCTTCAAATCTTTTCTACCCCTTTACAAACTTGAATCTCTTGTGCACAATTCCCCCCATCCCATACAAAGCATGATATACAACCACAAGCTTTGACATTAGTATCATTTCACAAGCTCGATATCTCATTGACCCCTTGTTTGAGCCCATAAGAAGAAGGTTGTGTTTATGCTGTGAATGTACAATAAAGTGAATTCCTCCCTCCAGTGTAAAAGGCCCATGTTGTTTGCTCTGCAGAGCGAAGATGCCTGGAGGAATTCACAACTTGGCAAACTATTCTCAGAAATTGTTCAGTGGCAGCGGTGTCCCCCCCCCCCGTGTGCAGTATTGTCGTCATGGCAACAACTCCAGCTGTGACACAGAGACTGCAACCCGTTAATAAAGGAATCACAGCTCTTGTTGACTGAAAGTTGGCATACCTTACTGAAAAAAAAATTTAAGGAACGTCTACATATCACACCAGTCTATGGACTAATTTTAAAGTAGACTGATGTCTGAAATATGCAGAGTGCTAGGTTAGATTTTAATGTTGCCGATCAATAGGCAGCTCTGTGTGCATGCAATAATGTGTGATTGATTTATTTGGACTCCCAATTAGTGGCTACCAGGGATGCGACAATATGATTAATTTTTATTTTTGGATTGTTGTGTCCCTTTTTGCCTTGTTGACATTTACTTTTGATGGATGTTTGAGCTTTGGTAAAGAGCAAGCAGACAGTTCAGTGTAGCAGGAAAATGTATGGGTAAATGTAATCATTCTGGCGAGGACAACATGTTGCATTGAAAAAAACAATATGTTTACCGACATTGTTATATCTTTTTTTTCTTTCTGCTTCAAGCTTTGAGATTGCCAATAATTGTGTTATGTTGTGCCATCAATGGTGCTTTTAGATGAAAGTGCATATACAAATGAGATGATGGAGCCATTATGGAAACAGCCATCAAGTGGTTTTGAAAGCTATTTTAGAAACGCTGCAGCTCAGGGATATTTCAAGACACAGAATTACCCAGACAAGAATGGGCAGAAAGTAATTATGGATAAATGCTATTCATGATGTCTCAAGCCATTTGACAAGTTAAATCGTATATATTTGCTCTCATGGGGACTTGAGCAGCTGTTTGACAAGTTTAACATGTTGCACGGGCTCCTGTAAACAACACAACACTTTTAAATGAAGTAATGATTTGGTTCTGAGAGTGTTTCTGGTGGCTCATGATTCACATTGAAGCTAGCAACTGAAGTGGAAGCCATTGGGTCTGTAGCATAATCCTGTTCCTTGAAACACCCTTCAGAGTGCTTACATCAACGCTTCACTGTAAACATATTGCTGGTTATATAATCTGCGCTTGACTAACATCACTGACTAACTCATTGTTTATTAAAACAAATTATAATTTTGTATTGTGCACTCTCAAATTCACCTACTGTATTTTTTAAGTTTCAGAATTTAACAGATTTTTTTCTTTGGTACATCATTCAGCCACAAGAATAATGTAAAATATATAAATACATGAATAAAATATATTTAAAAAAACATATATGTCATATATGAATAAACTGCTAGACAGTGCTGAATAATGTATTTTTGTATTGTCTGTGATTGCATTTCATATTTCCTTAGTAGAAAACATAGGATTAGCAAATACATGGCCAGAGTGACCTTTTAGGGGGCCCTGGTACAAAGATGTGCTGTTGGCCCCCCTACTATCCCACACAAACTAAAATAATGAAGGTTTTAACACTATTTTGATTTTGATTTAAAACCCTTCTACAAACTGTTAACTAATACCCACCACCCTTAGTTCCTGCTGCTAAACTTTTCAAGCCTTCAATAACAATGGTGAGAGATTTACCACTAGAAAAGTCTTAGTATTTTTAGAACACAATAAGGTCTTAGCAGGCCTCTAAAGCTAGAACTGAGCCAGTGACCATCAATTTTGCCATCAACTGTTGCTGACAAATTTTATATGCGTTAGTTCCATGACTTTGTTGAAAACGCTGTCTCCTGCTGACTTTTAGTGTTTCCATGCTGGTTCTTTTTGAAATGAGAACCATGTGCGTTTGATGGCTACATACATGATATGGTGCGTAAAGACTGAGGCTAAAGCTTCCAAGCTAATATCTGCTTCCTCACTGATTATCTGTATTGAAAAAATTGCATCGTTCTTGTGTTGCAGTGTGGAACTAGTTAGTCCTAGTAGCCTATTATTAATAAGGTATACACAAAGATAAGACCTCTAATTATTTGATTAGCTACACAAGAGGTTAAATTTATGCTTTATTGTGTGTATTAGCTTACACAAACTTGTAGCATCCGGGATCCAGCTACCACATAGTGAGGTGCTAGTTGTCACCGGGGTTTGTTGTAATCTGCAACCCCACAACATAACGCTGACAGTGGAAGTAACTGACTACTTTAGATAATGAGCTAGTTAGTTTGACATGCTAACGTTTTCTTCTTACGTTAGAGCACACACACACTCACACACACAATTAAATCCATTCTTCAGCATTTTGCTATTGTTTTTTGGTTTTGGAGAGGGAGACATGTGGATAAATCCACACATTGCTAAGAAATGATGGACAATTGCTGTTCTGGTTTGGCAAACAGCCACTTACCAAAAACCAAGTGGCAGGCATTAAACCTTGGCTTTTTCGGGCCCTTGTTGCCTGCATATGCCCAGGTGTGTGGGAGGACAGTCTGACAGGATTGTATCCCTGAAATCAAAATACTTGTCACTGGTAATATCAGGACATGTTAGTTACAGTCGTCCTACAACAAAAGGTAGGTTTATATTTTGGGGGTGAAAAATTGGCACTCACACTTAACAGCAGAGAAAAGCTGCTGCTGCTGCATCCTGAACAAGCATGAGACGGAAGGGTGACTTTTGCAGTTGTCTAAACGAGATGAGATAAAAGCACGGATGACCTTCTCTAAATCTGTGAAGGATAAAAACAACTTAATTTTTAATATGTTTCTGAATTGCAGGAAGCGGCACAGCAGCAGCCTCTTTACCTCCACTTCAGAAGTCAAGTAACTGTCAGAATCACTCCCAGCCCTCTGGCCAGCCGGCTTTGTGTTTGAAGACAGACAGACAGACTACTGCCAAGATCGACTGGAATAAAAGTTTCTCCAAATAAGACCCAATTTTAGATTTGTTTTCAACTTTGGTGAAACACTTTTGATACTTTACAGAGTTGGAGAACTTTGGTTATCACACCAGGTGTTTTTTGTGGGAAAAGTAATTTGTCCCTCAGTCTCTCCCCAGTGAATTACTGCTTTAATACCTTAAATGGAGCTCAACAGCTGGGTCAGAGGGGCTCTTATTACATCCATGACCCTCTAACACCAGACAATACTTGAAGATTTGTTGCCTTAAATGCTGCTAAGGTCAACCTGTTTTTATTTAACCATTATTGTCTCCTGTTGTTTATAAGGTGCCATCATTACATTTAATAGTTTTCCATTTTTAGCAGGCATCACTTTAGGTGATGTATTATACAGTAGGCTATATCTCATTAGGGAATAAAAAAATAACAAAAATAGTGACAGCAGCTCTCAGCATGCAGGCACCGGCCAAGCTACCAGCCATTAAACCACAACAGTATTATTCAGTTTAAAATGTTATTTTTCTAAATCAGTGCAGTGTTTCAAATGTAAGCTTGTAGAGGAAATAGGATTGGATGTTGTTGGTAACTTTATAGATTACAGACCATAAATTACAGTGTAAATTGTTTATACCTGTGAAATACTAATCTACACTGTACTTGTATAAAATTGGTGAAAAGGGGCTGCCTTGTTTAACAGCCCACACACCCCAAACTTACATTACAATAGGGGGGCTTTCTCCCACATTTTTAATGCTTTGTCCTGGTGGTTGTTTATTCAGCTGGTAGTTTTATGACAGGACATAAAAGCTGTTCTAGTTTGTTCTTTAATGTCAGTTTTGATATTTAGATGGATCTGACATTGGACCTCAAACTGAGAGTATATTTTGTAAGTATTTCATGATTTTAAAATAAATGATTCCCTTGTAATCATCCTGGCATACTGTAACCAATTTTATCGATACCGCACATGTACCAAATAAAACAATGTCATTTGTTGGCTGTAAATGTTACCAAAATTGTCTTTTTCAAAATTAAACAGAAATGATTAAAACCAGGGAACTACACAACACATCAGAGGAAGATTCATTTTTTGGCTGTTTATTGGCTGCTTTACTACTAAAATGCTTGTTAGGTGAGAATTTATCCCGATTCAGACAACAAATCCACTTCCCTCTAAGCTACATCGGCTTCTTTCTCTATCCTGAGCTCTGCTGATTCAATCATGCAGCCGTCCCAGCGCTTGCAATAACATCAAAGTAGTTTTGATTTTATCAGAAGAAAATCTGTACGATGCCGTGGAGTGATGCCTTTTGTGAGAAACCACCTGGATGGAGATCAGAGATTTTCTGTGAGTTGTGAGCTATCTGAAAGTCTTCTAAAAGGCACAGTGTGATGGGGATGAGTAATTCTCATACACTTATGAAGTCTAATTAGTTAACCTCAATTTGTGAATTATGATGCAAATATTGCACCTTAGATGGATTAAACAATTGTGTTTTGAATGAATTATAGTTGTGCCAGAAGATTGATTATATTACGCGCGTGTGTACACGCACTCTGATGTATGTATGTGTGGATATTTGCACAAGCCATAGCTGATGCTGTCATTAAATAGCCCCTTGGCCCCTCTCCTGAATTTGTTTATTCTGCACTGGGCATGGGAGTAGGTGGCAAACAGATGGGCATCCATGAATTATGGAAATTATGGGCTTTGATTAACCACCACACACTCTGCTGGATAAAAGTAACTCTAGGGTTGCCAAGTTATGTGGTTCACTGGGCCGGGCCGTCAGTCAGTCAGCAGCATGATGGACCTGATGGGTGATTGATGTTGTTTGTTGCTCAATCTTAAACAATGTAGTACAACTGCAGCATTTATGTATTAAGCTTGTTCCAGGTGAAAGAGCAGTTAAATACTGGCCATTGCTACCATTTCAGATTTAATTCCTGTCTCACTTTTTGGTAGAATTGCTGATTATTATAGGAATAGTTTGACGTTTTGGAAAATATGCTTATTTGCTGTCCTGCCGAGAACAAGATGAGAAAATTGATACCACTCCCATAACAGTGCCTAGCCATGTGCCTGAATACTGGATCCAGGGGTAACAGCCCACCAGTAGGCCTACCTCTAAAACTCACTAATTAACACATTCTATGTGGTTTGTTTAATCTGTAAAAAAAAAAAAAAAAAAAAAAAAAAAGGCTAACAACTTCAAATTGCAGTTTTACAGGGATTTATGTGTGATTTTGTTACCTTCGGAGTGAGCAACATTTTGTTAATGGGCCAACAACTGCATACCACCTTTAGAAATAGAATAATAATGTAGCCTATTTACATAAAACTAATTTGCTTGAAAGACTAGTTTTACATTTTGGGGGTAAAAGATTATTGCTGTGAGTTAGACAAGAAGATTAATTCCACTAGTATGTATGTATGTATGTATGGTAAATATGAAGCTGCTTAGCTTAGCCTAGCATAATACTTGAATACAGGGTGAAACTAACCCTGGCCTGGCTCAGGTAACAAAATCCTACATGGCCCCCCTGTAAAACCACAACTTGTCATATTTACACTTTGGTTTTTACAAACTAGATGTGATAAACTCAAGAAGTGCTTGTGGATAAACTTTTATGCTAAGCTAAGCTAAGTGGCTGCTGGCCCCAGCTTCACACTAAAGATTTATTGACCTTTATGTCTAACTCTCAACTTCGCACATTTCCCAAAACTAGATGTTGAAGTGGCCATTCCCACCATTTTAAATTTACTGGCAGATCCTGTCTCACTTTTTGGTCCAATTATATGGATTAACATTGATTATTAATGGTTCCATATGTTCAGATTTAAAAAGATAGATTTTGATGACAACAAAGATTTGGCTTCTTGTTTCTCATGTGCACCATAATCTACCCTTTAAGGATGAGTGTTTGAAGCTCATGAACATATTCATTCAGCAGCGTGCTGCAGGATAATTTATCATGTATATCATAATCATTTAATTCTTCTGTTATTTCCATCAAACAAAGTCAGATTTCTAAAGTGTTTAATCAAAGGTCTTTTTAAAAGTATTTAATTTGTTTGAAACAGGCACCAGTTATCTCAATATTGGCCTTGCAACTCGCCTGCAACCAACAACCCCCCCTTTAGCATCTGATACCCCCCTCAAGCACGCACACACACCATCATCCGTCCCCCCCCACACCACTGTCCCCATCTCTTCACTTTTCATAAATGAAGAGAGACAGCCTTATCCCGGAACCAACACGGAAAAGCAATTAAAAAGGAATTAA